AGGACTAAGATTTTTTGTCCAGAACGAGGCTTGCCGAGTTCTGGACAAAAAATCTTAGTCCGAGGGTTGAGATTTCTCTATCTTACACAACCAGTAGCGATTGATTATTTTTCTCCCATATCTAACAGTATTTTAATGTGAAATAAAGGTAAACATGGACCCAAAACACATACAGGCAATTTGTTGATGGATTGTTGACGTGACGTCATTGTATTGTTTAGGTGACGTCATGCCATTGTTATGAATAGGGGAATCCCCCCGTCTCAACCCTAGGGCGTAGACAGATAAATCTAGCACCGGCAAAACGGGAGATAAATCTGTCAGGTGTGGGAGAAATTGTAATACGCAATAATCACATCGTTTCATTTCCCAAACTCCCTTAATACCAACGCCAAGTAATAAGGCAAATACGTAAACAAAACACTTACTCTTGATGCCGAATTTTCGTTTACGATACAATGCATTTCTAAAACTCATCTGATTCTAATATTTCAACATATTTACCTGAAAAACTTAAGTGGTTTTACAAAGGACAGGTCTAAGTAAGGCTACAGAAAAATACTTATTTTCTATTCAATTCAATAATATTACTGCTCATTTATAGTTACATAGTAACTTGAAGGCAAATAACAAAACAACAAATATTCAAAGAAACTGCAATAGTGAACAATATATAGACTTACACATAAGCCAGGCCCACACTCCTCAGTTTAAGTGACTGTTTGATGCATATGCTCGAGTTAAGTATAAGTTGCATATTGTCAGAAGATAAAACATGTGTTATAAGTATGTGTGTTTAGTATAGAATAGTTTTGAATATATTTACTTAAATAGTCCTTTCACGGCTGTGCATTATAGCCACACCTGATTAAGAAGTGTTCTTCACCTTCTAGAACAAGACATTTTTTACATACTCTTTGCTCTCTAGTGGTAGAAACTATAATTCTCCTTATCAACTTATCCATTCCTTACGGGGAATGATGACATATTGCAATAACCGTAATGAGTCTTACGAACGAAAATGAAACTGAATCTCCTCAAGCTATCAATACGTCCCATTACAAAGCTGAATGTTTTAGAGAAATAAGTCACGTATGTATCTGTGACTGAAAAGACTGCATATGACATACACTCTTACTCCCACCTGATCCTTACAAAAAACTTCTCACAACTTCTGACATTTCTAAACAGGTCTTTACTGACTGTTTCACCTACTGAATACTAACATTCCTGCAGACACTATTCCTCCACAATTCAGTATAGGGCTGCCACACCCTGCTGTGAGATCGTTCTTTATTATCTGTATACTTCTGTAGAAGGGCAAGGGTGTTAGACGTAAATCATCTGACAATATCTGTTACTCTGGGGAGTTTTTTTTAACAAACCAAACAATTTAAAGTTAAACAGTAAAATACATGCTTAATTTGTCTAGAATAAGTCAAGGATTAGTTTTCATGAGGATTGAATTGCTTACCAATCATTTCTTACAAATGATGAACACTACACATGAATAATATAATTAAGCTTACACAAAAAAAACACTTGCCATGTTGCAATACAGAATTGACAAAAAATTCTTTCATGTCGCATATACTTCATTGATACCTCCAATTCTAAAATATGCGAATACTAGTATTGTATGGGCTTATTGTAACAGATCAGTGCATGCAACATCTTACATTCAATTCAATTTGAAACAGCACATATTGTCACAGGTTTAAGATGGGAAACAAGTCGTAGTATTATACATAAATGTAGAAAGACTGGCTTTGTTAACTAAAGGAAGGCATAAATGCATCAAAACATTAGAACATGTCTGATAACTTAAACAGGAAACAGGAGGAGGGGGGAGTCACAGCTTTTTTGTTCATGTTCAAACTGGACTCAATGAGTTTAGTAACTAACAAATGTTGTCTGCTTCATTTGTCCATGAACTTGACCAGATTAACATTGCCTGGGAAGTGATAGTTGTGTAATTTCACAACATTTAGCCAGTATGTATTAGTTCACATCTAGTCAACTTTTGGCTTATTTATCGAGATAAGCAACAGTTCCATTACTGCAGTGATGGCTTAATTATACTATGCATTTGCTTAATAAAATGTTGTATGCAGAATCAACAATTTTAAAATGGCCCATGACAACAAACGTTCAATGGCAGACTAAATGTGAACGTCAAATTTGTGTACATCTAGAGACTAATGGTAGACTAAATGTGAACGTCAAATTTGTGTACGTCTAGAGAGTAATATAATGGTAGATTAATTGTGAACGTCAAATTTGTGTACGTCTAGAGACTAATGGTAGACTAAATGTGAACGTCAAATTGGTGTACGTCTAGAGAGTAATATAATTGTAGACTAAATGTGAACGTCACATTTGTGTACGTCTAGAGACTAATGGTAGACTTAAAATACTTGACTTGTAATGTAAGAACTCAGTATTGCTTTTGTACATCTCATGTGAGATGATTTTAATTCGAGCTTCTTTGCACTTCAATTTGTCTGAATACCAATTCCCTACTCTATGATTAAAAGCAATATCAAATCCTTGAGTTATCTTTGTGATGTACCGGTAAAGGCTGGCCTTACCCGTCGTTTGAATTGGTCCACACTTTGGGTTTGGTCTGGGTATATAGGATCTCCAACGAAGGTTCTGTGGAGGAGACAAGGGATGTGATGTACTGTGTAATGCTTGTACATTGTACATGTAGTGACATTATTACAACTACAACTGGTAACAACAGGGAACACATACCATCCTTAGCATGACCAATCAGTATCGGCAATGTGATTACAATCAAATGTATCTGTACTCAAAGATGAAAACAATCCTAAGCATCTCCGAATCACAGGGAAAATCCTCGAATTTGAGAGCAGTGGGCCATTTCAGCAATTTTTTTAAATATTAAAATTAAAACGGTCTATTCTCTGTTAAATTAAAAGCAAAATCGGAACAACGAGGGATCAATTTCAGTTTTGAGGGGTCAATGGACCCATGGACCCCACCAGGAATATCCCTGTTGAATTATTTCAAAATTCCTTGTTTAAAATAATGTGTTCAACCAGTTATTTATTATCAAAAAATAAATAAAAAATAAATAAAAATAAATAAAAATAAAATCAAGCATAACAACACAATCACAGCATAACAGAAATTTCTAGATTCCTACCTCATTTTTACAGGAAAAAATCCATAAATAAGTGAAATAGGCAGTCTAGTTTTTTCATACAGCTTCAGCAATAGGTCTGTAACAAAAAAGTAATACATGTGTCAAAATACATAAAACCTTCAATGTGGCTAATGTGTAGTTTATTTGAAGTCCTACATAAGGATATATGCTACACCACTGGGAAATGAATCTCCATTCAAAAAGATTTCCACAGTAACAAATCTGTAACTTGTGTTAACTGAGTAATGAAAGGATGAGAATAACGTGTGTATACACACACCTTAGAGTCAAAATAAAAATGAAAGCGCTAGATCTTAGAATAAAGGAATAGTTTAGCAAATTCACTCTTTGAAAACACTGAAATTAAGGGTCCAAAATCGGGAGTCTTCCTCCTAAACAGGGAGGGTTGGCAAGTATGATACAGCTAAAAAAATATAACATAGCAAAAAAAATCAACTCACTTCTGCCAAACACTGGAGTTCGAAATGCTTCTCTAACATTCTGTGTAAATAGCGGAATCACAGGCTGGAAAAGAAACAGAATCTGATGACTGTCTACTCGTGGGATTAAAGAGAACTGTATAGTAATACACTAATAATAGCTGTGTCATAGAGGTTTCAACGGACTGCTTTGAATTTCATAAAATCATACAAACATCATGTATCTACATGCTTCTGTTCCTTCATAGATCTGTTGGTTATATGTGAAAGCGTAGAGCCTCCTGTGTTACACATTTCCTGAGGACAACTGAAATTATCATATCTTATATTATTATATGTTGTTTTGGGGTCATTTAAGACCATCATTTTAATCTAAATGGTGTACGACTGCAGGTTCATAATGATATTCTTTAATTGTGATGAATGAACTTTGTTTACTAAATAGGTTCATTTGAAATAAGTTTGAATGAATTTAATGCAAGAGCATATATGGGAAACAGGACCACCTCATCATGTCTCTCTTCTTGGCCCTTATATAAGAAACCAATTACATGGTATATAATTCATTGACAAACAGAAGAAAACATAACAGGACCGGTTCTAGTGGAGACAGAGTTCCCCTACGAGCAAGGATGGACGGCACTGAGAAGCTACAAAAATAATGGAATCACATACATCATAAACCAAAGATATTAAATAAGTCATTATTTAATACAATTTCAAGATGTAAAATATATTGACCATCTGTACTATATTTTTAAACCTGAATGATAATTTTTCAAAAGCCTAACATAAAGTACATTACCACATTGGCCTGAATAGCTACTTTGGCATATCCATCACGCCTCCCCCACATCAGTTGGTAATGCTCATCCCCGAACAGGGCTTCTCGTACACCTCCTGGTCATTAAAAAAGATACATGGTATACATATCTAAATTACTTTCACACTTTAAACAAATAAATTATATATATAAAATTTGGTGTCCCTTCATAGATTACAAAACCTTCTGCATATTATTTTTACCAAAGGCTATAGTCATAGAAGGCATCATCTCCCTTAGTTCATAACCACACCTCTACCTTAACCCTTTCACCACTGTAGAATATAATAGACCCACCCAGCTAAATACAGGGAAGAGTCTACTAAAGTTACATAGGGGTGAAAGGGTTAATGACCCAGAGCTATACCAAGTAGGTGTCCCTCCCTTAGTACCTAACCACACCTCTACTTATTTACCTGGAGCTATACCAAGTAGGTGTCCCTCTCTCAGTACATAACCACACCTCCACTTATTTATTTGGAGCTATACCAAGAAGGTGTCCCTCCCTTAGTGCATAACCACACCTCTACTGTATTTACCTGGAGCTATACCAAGCAGGTGTCCCTCCCTCAGTACATAACCACACCTCCACTTATTTACCTGGAGCTATACCAAGAAGGTGTCCCTCCCTTAGTGCATAACCACACCTCTACTGTATTTACCTGGAGCTATACCAAGTAGGTGTCCCTCCCTCAGTACATAACCACACCTCTACTGTATTTACCTGGAGCTTTACCAAGTAGGTGTCCCTCTCTTAGTACATAACCACACCTATACTGTATTTACCTGGAACTATACCAAGTAGGTGTCCCTCCCTTAGTACATAACCACACCTCTACTGTATTTACCTGGAGCTATACCAAGTAGGTGTCCCTGCCTCAGTACATAACCACACCTCTACTGTATTTACCTTCACCTACATATATGCCAAGCAGATGTCCCTCCCTTAGTACCAAACCACACCTCTACTGTATTTACCTGGAGCTTTACCAAGTAGGTGTCCCTCTCTTAGTACATAACCACACCTATACTGTATTTACCTGGAGCCATACCAAGTAGGTGTCCCTCCCTCAGTACATAACCACACCTCTAGTGTATTTACCTTCAGCTACATATATACCAAGCAGATGTCCCTCCCTTAGTACCTAACCACACTTCTACTGTATTTACCTGGAGCTATGCCAAGCAGATGTCCCTCCCTCAGTACATTTACACAGCTCTGTACAGTACCTGGAGTGACCCTCATCACTTCCATCATGAGTCGCCAACCTGTAAGACAATGTAAGTTCTATTAGAGAAGATCAGAGGAAGACAAAACAAGTAATATTGTAAACAACTGAAATACAAAGGAATTTAAAAAGTTATAACAGATTATATAAATTCTAGTCGGATTTAAGATTCCATAAGAAATGATGTCTGTAAAGCATCAATGACAAAATTACCATTTATAATATCAGAGATCTTATTATTTACCCTATGATGTATTACAAAGTTTGTCAGGAGGTGTTTCTTGCAAACATGTTTTCAAGGACATTTACATGCATATATATGTGCAGATCTTTATATGTAGCCTTGCCAATGTAGCCTTGCCAACTCATTACCAACAGGAGAATATTAAGTAACAGTTTATGGATAACATTTTTTTTTTTTTTTTTTGATAAATAATCCATGGAATTTTTCCCCATATGATTAATGAAAAAATACTCGTAAATACTATAAACTTTATTTTTTTACAACGATTATGAAACAAGTTATTTCAACTTATATTAATCACTTCTGTTGGCCTGGATGCTAGCATCTTAGTGTGGGAGGAAACCGGAGTCCCCGGAGAAAACCCATATGGTCAGGCAAGTGACCCCAACCTTTTCACGTCCGATCGGGGAGTTGAATCCCGGCCACCTTGGTGAAAGGCAGGTGCGCTATCCACTGCAACACCAGACCACCCAAAAAAACACACAACCATTCCTATATCAATACCATGACTGTGATAAATTCCCCTTATTGATCTCAACCAATCATGACGATTTGTTACTTTCAAGTAAGAAAAAAAAAATGACCATTTTCATTGACTTTTCCCTCAGCAATGTCAAACTTTCGACTTATAATAAACCTATTTTTGATAGGTTAAAGGCAATGGTCACGAAAAGTCTTTTCTGTTCAATGAAATAATTTCTCAGCTATCACTTTCAGAAGTATGATACCTTGTTGATATGATCATATTCTGTAAAACTTAGCCCTGCTGAAAACAAAGATTTTGCTAAGAGAGGTAACATTCAAGCACAGTTGATGACAGTATTAATTATCCAGTATAAGATATGACTAACCAGGAATGTGGAATAGAAAACGGTCGCCAACAGCTCTAATGTGTCTGTTCTTGTCCAGCAGTGTTTTGGCTATGACGTAATAAAAGTCTATGGGAATTGTTCCATGGTAGTAGATGAGCAGGGCCGGTCCCTCACGTGGAATTTTGTCAAATCCCACAATCTCATACCCTGTACAATACAAACGGTATATTAGAACATGAGGTATTCATTACAATCTGTAAACAAATTTAAAGATACCGTACCAGATGTAAACACTACATATGAGCCAGTTTTGTAATTTAGCCTAATAAACCTTGCAGGTGTTGACATGTTGAATCATATTCACGGACTATAATTTTTTTTTATTTGACTTGAGAATTGCAAATTAAAGGGTTAAAGATTTAACAATGTTTCATACGTATACATGCCATATCTAACAATTTGAGCGTGAGATTCACAAAATTTACTTCAAAACAATTCCTCACAGCGTGAGACACATTTCTCATGAATTTCAATCGGTCTCAGGAAAAGAAGGAAAGTTTGGTCAATCTTAGTGCATAAATAATAGCTACATGCATTCACACATAAATTCATGACACAGACCCCTCAAGATCAAAAATATCCATTAGGTTTTAAAAAGATTTTAGAACACATAATGTACGTTAAATGTTTTTGAGGGATTTTCTTTGGTCATTTTTTTCACAATGCAAAAATCTTACCATGCCATAATCTAGCTTGTCCATCCCATAATGCTGCTAGTGTTTTTCTGGCTCCATCCCAAAAATCTCTGCCATAAGCTTCCCGAAGTCGACGTCGATAATGGTATACATTGAGAAACAGCGCTGACCCGTACAGAAACAGTAGAATGATAAGGGGAAGTAGGAAGGATATTATAATGGGGTACACCACCCACAGCACCCATTTCCAATAATTAATGTCAAGGGTGTCGAAAAGTTCCCAGGCGTATTGCAGGTGATCATTTATCTGGTTAGAGATGTTATAAAATAACATCACAAACTCTTTTTATACGGGATACGTCACGTCTCGAAATGTCGGTCAACTGAAACGTCCTATTTACCAACATCATAGCGGAAGATAAAAGTTTTATTGTAGGCAACTATCAGTTGACCCATATTGTTCCTCACCAGTCTCCACCTCAGGTAGTAGTTAATAGGTCAACCTAGGGAGAAGATAAAGAAAGATAAATACACATTTATTTATATCACAGATTTATGGGGTACCTTTAATCTACTATATGTTTGGACATAACTTCAACTGGTTAAACCCATGTGATTAATGTAATCTAGTGCACTTGTACTCAGTAATATTATAGAGTGTGATTAAAACCAGTTTACAGGTAAATGTTGATTTCTAAATATAGCTTTTAGGGGAATCCATTACACCTCACATGTAGGCCAGTTTTCAGGTAAGTATGTTTTCTAAATATAGCTTTTTAGGGGAATCCCATTCACCTATCATGTAGGTCAGTTTTCAGGTGAATGCTGGTTTATAAATATAGCTTTTAGAGGAATCCCTTACACCTCTTTTGTACATAGGCTGGTTTGTTTGTGAAATGGATTACTTAGGGGAATTCCTTACACCTCTCATGTACATAGACTGGTTTGCTTGTGAAATCGATTTTTTAGGGGAATCCCTCACACCTCTCATGTACATAGGCTGGTTATATTTTTAGCTTGTGAAATGAATTACTAAATAAAGACCTTAGGGGTATCAACTGCAGCTCTTTTATTGTAAATATGATGTGATATTAATCTGAAAAAATGACAATGACCTTAGTTCTACCTGAGGTTAATTCATAGCCATTTCAATCTGCAAGTCAGTTGATTGTATTGTGCTATATTTGAAAGAGAAATAATATATGAATTGAGTTGACATTTTTACAAGGGGCTTCTATGTCATGCAGACCTCCAACATACATCCTCGATACTCCAGGAGTTACGCTCATTTTCGCTCTCTGCATCCCTGGAATATGTCATAGCAAAATTGAAGGCACTCAGCTAGCTTTTTGATTGGTCTCAGGTAAAGAAACCTGACCAATCCCTCGGCCGATACCTGTCCTTTGAAGATCAAAAGAATCTGTCAGTCCCTTAACAGTGACAACCGACTTCAACGCCAGTCTATTGTAATATTACGCGACCAAAGTACCATTACACGACCAAAGTATCATTACGCGACCAAAGTACCATTACACGACCAACAGATTCTTTTGATGTTCATCAAAGGATCAGACTAAAGCCTTCTCGTCTCATTAGCAACGTGGTGCACGCTGAGCCTTTAATGTTGCCATGACATATTTCAGGGATGCAGAGAGTGAAGTGAGTGTAACTCCTGCAGTATCAAGGATGCCAACATATGGCATTTGTTCTTTATCAGTATTGGTATGTCAAAGATCCCAATTTCAGTACATACATGCAAGCTTATCTATTTCTGGTTAAGTATACTAGTCCCATATGAAAACACTGTACTCTTTGTTTGATCTTCTAAGCATGATGAAGGCATCTTTTCTAGATTTTCAAGATCATTTTGAATGAAGTCAGTCACATGATCCTAAAAGGTCTTGACATGATGTGCCAGTACAGTAAGCAATCATCTTTATTCGTGACACATTTGGTAGCTGGAAAGCGCAATGAGATGCTTATGCAGTGTGTGGTCACCTGGCCAATCACTACACAGATATAGATAGACACACCCACAGAGATTATGAAATAAACAATAGACAAGACATTTCAAAACCAAACCAAGCATGGCACAATTTACAGTGTAACATGACAATGTTATTACCTTAACAATTTTGCAAAAATTCATTTTTTATAAAGTAAGCTGTCTTACTTTGAAATTAAATCAAATTAATAAATTTTGAATTTAAAAATTCTGTTGGTAAATTAAAGTATTCTTTAAGTTCATTGTGCATTATATCATAATATTTATTTGTAGAGGCAAATAGTTGTCTACAAAGCATTTGTATATTTCTCAAATCTAGATCATCAGCTGATCATTACAACAACAGCAAGTTACAAATGAAATGGTGTATAAGCCAGTAAGCTTTACCATGGCCAGAGTCCGAATAACCACTGGCTTCAACGCCAGGAATTTTGTCAGATACATGTAGATGTCAGATGTGTGAAAAACAAATTGTCAAAACCCCAAAAGTCTGGTGTTGGATCGCGGAGTCAAGAGGAAACCCGGGGTAACAAACCAACAACTAGTTGACAGTAGCAGAAAGTCATCTTCTAACAACCAAATAAATTCCATATCGAATGCATATAATGGATACAGAATACTGGCTATACCTGTGAGTTAATGACAGAGCTGAATTGCACTAGTATGTACATGAAACGAACGAGTGGCTCACTGTCAACACAAACTAGGAAACGTCACGAACGAGTACAGGCCTTGGACACATCACAAACAGCTGAACCGGAAGTTTGCCGTGTTTACATACTATCCATTACTTCCGATAAAATGTAAAATTAAATCAACCGTCTGATTCTCCGGAATTGCAATATAAAATCCTATAAGGGTCTATTTCCTGTGTTTTGTTTTTCGTATAGAGAGTAATATTTCCTTAATTTTGTTTTGGATGTAACTGTAGCACAGTTAGGCTTCTGTTTACCAGGTAGATCCTTCGATAAGAACGATAAATATATATGTTATTGCCTGGTCGTACCGGAGACATATATGTTAGCAATCAAGTGTAGTATACTTACCTGCAATTTCCTTAAGTTTAAACAGCACATTTTATTCAATAATCAGCCATGGTGATAATTAACAATTAATTTTAGAGGGATTGGAAAACAAGCTTAGAGCTAGTATTTTACTCAAAAATTTCATCTTTAGTAAAATAAATTCATAATAGTCCCGCAAGTTATGGCTTTCTTTTCAGGAATGATTGATCAAATCTGTAGTCTTGCCGGGGAAACAGATTCCATCGTAAAAATGTGATACGGGGATTCCTTAAACAAGAATACGATATTTAAAAAAATGAATTTACCAAGTGAAGTGAAAACAATAAAAATGATAATAACTTAAAAAAAATATTTTTTAAGCTCACCTGGTCCAAAGGACGAATCACAGGTACATGTATACTAATTGCGTCTGTCAATAAACACGGTTGCTGATGTCATTGCCTAGCTAAATGACCATGTCCAGAACGAGTGTGTCATAACGTTTACCGTTCATAATATCACAGAGGCATCGATCTGGATTGACAGGAAAATATCGCAAATTTCTTCAAATTACACGGAAGCAGGAAGAAGGACATGTTTACCACATCCAGGCAGTCCTGTGACCCTAGCCTACTCTATTGCGATTTGTTTTTGTGGAGGCTGGGGTATAAAAGGGGATGAACAGACAAAACAATAAAGTAGGGGGAAATCATGTTCAAATTATATAATAAAAGAACCAGTTAAAAAAACTAAATTATATGGCCATAGCAAGCTCGAAGATGTTACAATAACAAGACTGGGATTAGGTGCAACCAAACTTAACGACAACATAAATATTTTGATAAAAAATGAAACACCAAACTGTCCGAATTGTAACACAAACAAATTAATAAATCATTGTTTGGCACTGTCACAAACACAACGAAGAGAGGAAAGACCTAAGATAGGAACTAAATGATTTAAAAAAAAAGAATTTTTTTTATAAACAACTTAATAATCCTGGCGATGAAAGAATCAGACAGATTGATGCATAGAATATCAATCAAATATCTGAACCAAGTATCGACTATTTGAACAGAATCTGAAAACGAGCACAGGGTCCCATTGGTCAAAGGGAAATGACTAGTTATTAATTTTGAATGTTTTACGTCCGCTATTACGGCCTTGCGGCCTTTCAGCAGACGAGAAAAGATAGAAAAGGGAAAATAGAAGGGACAAAGCAGGTAGAGAAAGCCGAATTAAGGAGAGAAGGGGAGAGGGTAGAGATGGAGAAGATAGGAGTCGTGTGACCTATATCTCCTTTACACGTGGGATGGTGTAATTTTGTTAGACGACTTCTGGGGCGAAAGATGCGTGGATCCGTAGCCCATCATGTTCGGCCGCGGTAATAGAGAAGAGCGGATGGATGCCAACGCGGATGGTCCACCCCCAGAAAGATCAGGAAACCAGCCAAATCGGTTTAACCCTAGCTAATATGAATTTGATTAAATCTAATTTCGAAGTCCCTCTAAACTTCTAATAAATATACCTAGTCATTAGTACTAAGTCGAAAAATATCCTAACCTCTGAGTCGGCGTTATCACACCTGCTCTTCTTCGACAATACGCACAGGGATCTTTATCGTACGATGTGGACAGTCTCATACGGAACACAATTTTATGTCCCATCCGACGAACTACAGTGTATTACAGAATTATTTTTTTTGATCTATAAACGTCAAATATTACACAAAATCCAAACGTTTGAGCTTTAATAGTTTTCTGATAAACATCAGCTAGCAAGAAAACACCCCCTTTTTATATCTGTTCCATTTAGTTATATTGTAAACAGATTATTATATCTTTAAAAATATTAAAACCCATTAAAAGAAATAAATAACAAATAATTATCCTTGGCCATTCTACAAGCAAGGGAGGTATCATGTATCATCTCTTATAGCAACTTATATCAGAAACCCTGCAGATGGTAAAATCACTTGTTTTAAAACAAAGGGACAGATGCAGGGCCAAAAGTTAAGATTAAGGATATTCAGTATAAACTTAAACGCATAACAAAAACATTTCGTAAAAAATATTAATAAATATACCAAAAAAAAATCAAAATTAAATATAATAAAACTAAGTACATACCATAGGTATGATATTTTTTGAAAGAGAGTTGCTTCAACGTCTTTGTTCCCACCTCATGCGGGGTTTCTGTTCAATGAAATTGTCTCCAAACCCACAGTGATCGAGCGTCTTATCGAAGGAAAGTAAATATTTTAACCTTTTCAAAAACTACAATTTAAAAACAAATCAAAACTCTTATTTACACATATAATGCTTCTATCATTAACTGTTTAAAACACTTATATCAGTAAGTCCTCTTGTCTCATCGTCGTGACTTGTGTTAAGTTGACGCTGGGATGAGGAGAAGGCCAGTTGTGCTTCTGGACATATACATATACACACACCATCTCCCATCCCCATCCCCATCCCCATCCATATGATAATACCATTATACCCATATCGATCTGATTATATTTAATTATTACTAAAGGTAGGGTCCATTTCTGGCCTACGCAGCGATTTTTTTCATATTTTGCAACAACATTGCCAGACGGCAGACAGTATTAAAAATGATGGTCTCAGCTCCCTAGGATATGATTTGGCCAAAGTGGAGCTCCTTGAAGTACTCCAGCTCAGAACATGAACTTATACTTACTCCAGAGCCTGACCAATTCCTATTTTTTTTTTGTTTTCTACCTGTACTCACATTCCTTGTGTTAATGTTGTAATGATTTGTTTTCTAGATGTATTCACAGCCCTCGTGTTAATGTTGTAAAGATTTGTTATTCTACCTGTATTTACATCCCTCGTGTTAATGTTATAACGATTTGTTATTCTACCTGTATTTACAGTCCTCGTGTTAATGTTATAACTATTAGTTATTCTACCTGTATTTACAGTCCTCGTGTTAATGTTGTAATGCTTTGTTATTCTACCTGTATTCACATCCCTCGTGTTAATGTTATAACGATTTGTTATTCTACCTGTATTCACATCCCTCGTGTTAATGTTATAACGATTTGTTATTCTACCTGTATTCACATCCCTCGTGTTAATGTTATAACGATTTGTTATTCTACCTGTATTCACATCCCTCGTGTTAATGTTATAACGATTTGTTATTCTACCTGTATTCACATCCCTCGTGTTAATGTTATAACGATTTGTTATTCTACCTGTATTCACATCCCTCGTGTTAATGTTATAACGATTTGTTATTCTACCTGTATTCACATCCCTCGTGTTAATGTTATAACGATTTGTTATTCTACCTGTATTCACATCCCTCGTGTTAATGTTATAACGATTTGTTATTCTACCTGTATTCACATCCCTCGTGTTAATGTTATAACGATTTGTTATTCTACCTGTATTCACATCCCTCGTGTTAATGTTATAACGATTTGTTATTCTACCTGTATTCACATCCCTCGTGTTAATGTTATAACGATTTGTTATTCTACCTGTATTCACATCCCTCGTGTTAATGTTATAACGATTTGTTATTCTACCTGTATTCACATCCCTCGTGTTAATGTTATAACGATTTGTTATTCTACCTGTATTCACATCCCTCGTGTTAATGTTATAACGATTTGTTATTCTACCTGTATTCACATCCCTCGTGTTAATGTTATAACGATTTGTTATTCTACCTGTATTCACATCCCTCGTGTTAATGTTATAACGATTTGTTATTCTACCTGTATTCACATCCCTCGTGTTAATGTTATAACGATTTGTTATTCTACCTGTATTCACATCCCTCGTGTTAATGTTATAACGATTTGTTATTCTACCTGTATTCACATCCCTCGTGTTAATGTTATAACGATTTGTTATTCTACCTGTATTCACATCCCTCGTGTTAATGTTATAACGATTTGTTATTCTACCTGTATTCACATCCCTCGTGTTAATGTTATAACGATTTGTTATTCTACCTGTATTCACATCCCTCGTGTTAATGTTATAACGATTTGTTATTCTACCTGTATTCACATCCCTCGTGTTAATGTTATAACGATTTGTTATTCTACCTGTATTCACATCCCTCGTGTTAATGTTATAACGATTTGTTATTCTACCTGTATTCACATCCCTCGTGTTAATGTTATAACGATTTGTTATTCTACCTGTATTCACATCCCTCGTGTTAATGTTATAACGATTTGTTATTCTACCTGTATTCACATCCCTCGTGTTAATGTTATAACGATTTGTTATTCTACCTGTATTCACATCCCTCGTGTTAATGTTATAACGATTTGTTATTCTACCTGTATTCACATCCCTCGTGTTAATGTTATAACGATTTGTTATTCTACCTGTATTCACATCCCTCGTGTTAATGTTATAACGATTTGTTATTCTACCTGTATTCACATCCCTCGTGTTAATGTTATAACGATTTGTTATTCTACCTGTATTCACATCCCTCGTGTTAATGTTATAACGATTTGTTATTCTACCTGTATTCACATCCCTCGTGTTAATGTTATAACGATTTGTTATTCTACCTGTATTCACATCCCTCGTGTTAATGTTATAACGATTTGTTATTCTACCTGTATTCACATCCCTCGTGTTAATGTTATAACGATTTGTTATTCTACCTGTATTCACATCCCTCGTGTTAATGTTATAACGATTTGTTATTCTACCTGTATTCACATCCCTCGTGTTAATGTTATAACGATTTGTTATTCTAC